CATATCTACAAATTGAGTTATCTGAGTTTTTTTCCAAACGTATTATTTACTATTATATATATATATATATATATATATATATATATATATATATATATATATACTCAAATATCATCGCCTTAACTGAACAAAATATCCGTTTGCTCGCTGGCTGATTATTACTCTCCAGAGAAGCGTCCAAGTTATATATTCATCTTCATAGAAGTCTACAATAAAGGATCACCCAGTGTGCCTGAAATTAACTATCTTCGTTGTTTAGTAAGTCTACCTTACTCTCCACTGTGTAGGATTTGATACCAGATATTAGATCCGAAAGTTTATCTTAGCCAGGCACAAGGCCACTATGTTGAGTCAACCAAAGAGTATCACTATATGAGTTAACAGCCTACGCTAGACTATGTCACTAGCCCGCGCCATAAGCCAGAGGCTTCAAGCGCAGGAGAGAGATCTATACGAGATAACATTATTAGATCATTATATGAGTTATGAGTTATATTGTTCGACATGACCAGAGATAACTTGTACAGTTATCATTGGGAACAGTTCTATTGACCGGATGTTAATAGACAGGCGAACGCGGATCAGAAACTGATAAAGTCGTCATAATGAGCTTTTAATCGACTTCTGCTTTTTTAATGATAATAACGGCATCTTCAAAAGATACAAATAAAAACTGAGACTCCTCCAACCACTTCATCTGTCCAAAGTGTGTGCGTGTGTGCATGAGAGAGTGAGAGAGTGAGCATGCGTATATATATGTATCAAAATTATTTTCGTTTCTTTCTTTCTGTCTTTTTTTTCCCTTTTTTAACAGACTTTCACTTCTCTGATTCTACTTTATTATCTATATAAGTATTATATATTCGGGTGTATTAAAATATTTTCATTTTTGACAAACCTTTCGTAAAAACTTATTAAAACCGTGTATGACAACAATTATTATTATTATTATTATTATTATTATTATTCTATAATTGAATGCATTATTTTTATTTATTTATTTCAGTATCTGTCTATAATTTCTGAATGAGGTATCAAACACTATTTTTATTCGGACTATTATCCTCATCTTTGTTTCATATTTATCTGTCTATTTCAGTATTGTCTATATTTCTGAGATGAGGTATTATGTACACTATTTACATTATTCGGATTATTATCCTCATCTTTGATGCCTCACAACGTTTCTTTCAGTTTTATTTCTGATGATTTATGTACACTATTTACATTTTCGGACTATTATACTCATTTTTTGTTGTCATTTTATCACAACGTTTCGGCCTTTCAGTATCTGTCTATATTTCTGAGATGAGGTATTATGTACACTATTTACATTGTTCGGATTATTATCCTCATCTTTGATGCCATATTTATCACAACGTTTCGGCCTTTCAGTATCTGTCTATATTTCTGAGATGAGGTATTATGTACACTATTTACATTGTTCGGACTATTATACTCATCTTCGTTGCCATATTTATCTTTGGCCCTTCAGTATCTGTCTATATTTCTGAGATGAGGTATTATGTACACTATTTACATTATTCGGACTATTGTCCTCACCATTTTATCACAACGTTTCGCCCTTCAGTATCTGTCTATATTTCTGAGATGAGGTATTATGTACACTATTTACATTGGTCGGACTATTATACCTTTGTTGCATCTTTCACAACGTTTCGGGTCTTCAGTATCTGTCTATATTTCTGAGATGACAATGTACACTATTTACATTGTTCTATTATCCTATTTTTGTTGTCATATTTATCAAACATTTCGGCCCTTCAGTATCTGTCTATATTTCTGAGATGATTTACATTATTGTTCGGACTATTATCCTCATTTTTTGTTGCCATATTTATCACAACGTTTCGGCCTTTCAGTATCTGTCTATATTTCTGAGATGAGGTATTATGTACACTATTTACATTATTCGGACTATTATCCTCATCTTTGTTGCCATATTTATCACAACGTTTCGGCCTTTCAGTATCTGTCTATATTTCTGAGATGAGGTATTATGTACACTATTTACATTATTCGACTTTATTCATCTTTGTTGCCATATTTATCACAACGTTTCCCGGCCTTTCAGTATCTGTCTATATTTCTGAGATGAGGTTTATGTACACTATTTACATTATTCGGACTATTATCCTCATCTTTGTTGCCATATTATCACAACGTTTCGGCCCTTCAGTATCTGTCTATATTTCTGAGATGAGGTATTATGTACACTATTTATATTATTCGGACTATTGTCCTCATCTTTGTTGCCATATTTATCACAACGTTTCGGCCTTCAGTATCTGTCTATATTTCTGAGATGAGGTATTATGTACACTATTTACATTATTCGGACTATTATCCTCATTTTTGTTGCATTTATTCAGATCTGTCTATATTTCTGATGAGGTATTATGTACTCATTGTTCTTTCTTCGTTGCCATATTTATCACAACGTTTCGGCCCTTCAGTATCTGTCTATATTTCTGAGATGAGGTATTATGTACACTATTTACATTATTCGGACTTTATTCGGACTATTTCGGCCTTTTCAGTATCTGTCTATATTTCTGAGATGAGGTGCCATATTTTATTGTTCGGACTATTATACTCATTTTGTTGTCACAACATTTCGGCCCTTCAGTATCTGTCTATATTTCTGAGATGAGGTATTATGTACACTATTTACATTGTTCGGACTATTATCCTCATCTTTGTTGCCATATTTATCACAACGTTTCGGCCTTTCAGTATCTGTCTATATTTCTGAGATGAGGTATTATGTATACTATTTACATTGTTCGGACTATTATACTCATCTTCGTTGCCATATTTATCACAACGTTTCGGCCCTTCAGTATCTGTCTATATTTCTGAGATGAGGTATTATGTACACTATTTACAGTATTCGGACTATTGTCCTCATCTTTGTTGCCATATTTATCACAACGTTTCGCCCTTTCAGTATCTGTCTATATTTCGGAGATGAGGTATTATGTACACTATTTACATTGTTCGGACTATTATACTCATCTTTGTTGCCATATTTATCACAACGTTTCGGCCTTTCAGTATCTGTCTATATTTCTGAGATGAGGTATTATGTACACTATTTACATTGTTCGGACTATTATACTCATCTTTGTTGCCATATTTATCACAACGTTTCGGCCCTTCAGTATCTGTCTATATTTCTGAGATGAGGTATTATGTACACTATTTACATTATTCGGACTATTATCCTCATCTTTGTTGCCATATTTATCACAACGTTTCGGCCTTTCAGTATCTGTCTATATTTCTGAGATGAGGTATTATGTACACTATTTACATTATTCGGACTATTATCCTCATCTTTGTTGCCATTTATCACATTTCGGCCTTTCAGTATCTGTCTATATTTCTGAGATGAGGTATTATGTACACTATTTACATTATTCTATTATCCTCATCTTTGTTGCCATATTTTTGTTTCGGCCTTTCAGTATCTGTCTATTTTCTGATCATTATGTACAACATTTTGTTGCGGCCCTTTCAGTATCTGTCTATATTTCTGAGATGAGGTATTATGTACACTATTTACATTGTTCGGACTATTATACTCATCTTTGTTGCCATATTTATCACAACATTTCGGTCCTTCAGTATCTGTCTATATTTCTGAGATGAGGTATTATGTACATTATTTACATTATTCGGACTATTGTCCTCACATTTTTCGCCATATTTATTACAACGTTTCGGCCCTTCAGTATCTGTCTATATAACTGAGATGATGTATTATGTACATTATTTACATTATTTATATTTCTGAGATGTGGTATTATGAAATATAGTTTTAAGGTGTGCTATATTTATGGAATAAACTGTTCTATATCAGAGAAAGAGCGTATGTATATATAAATATAAAAGTGAACATTGAAGTCAACACTCAGAGGCGACAGGCTGTTTCATACTAGACGCAATCATCAGGCTCCGCCTGTACAAGATCTTAATAACTGTTTGTTAGTCAGGTTATCAAGTGTTTCCAGTGTCTTGCCAAACTTTTCAGATCTCATTAAAAAGAGATTTCAGTGGGAAATAAAGGACCGTATTTTATATTATTTGTCCCCAAATCATAGGTATTAAGGACCAATGGTGGATTTTCATCCCGACAACTAGTTCTTCATCACTCAACTCACCCAGTAATTTAAATTTTGAGAACTCGGAAGCCATGATGATGCTGTCGATATGGATAATGACAATGAAAAGCTGAAAGGATTTCCCATTAAGCGAAAAAGTGAACGCTATTAATTTAATGAGGAAATAATTCGATATGAGTGTAAATATATACGATAAAGAATATATATACACATTTTTTTCATTAAAGATTTTGTCATAATAATATAAATTTGATATTATTTAAGTATTAGTAAATATTGTTAACATCTCGTGCGTCTCTTTCTTATAGCTCTTCTAAATCTTCATGTGATTCATTCCTACAGGATGCAGACGATAATGAATCCACAAAAATTCCGGTCTTTTTTTAATTCTTACCAATGTTACTCTCTTTATTATAATTGTGGAAGGATAGACGAAATTTTAAAAAATGAACCTTAAATTGAAACGATATAAGATGACTGGAACATTTAAAAATATACTTTTAAAAGAATAATTACTGACAAAATATACTGAATTAAAATTAAACACATTATCGTGAGTAAATATATATATTTACTTACATATCAATATGGGGTGATAGAATTGTAAAAAAAAGACACGGGCAGAGAGCCAATGCAAAATTCCTGATTCGAAAAAATAAAGAAAATAGCGAAATTAAAACCTGGTTCAGTAAAAAATATACATGGGATTTGTCTTAACTATGTAGCAGCGTGCTGGTACCACATGACAGAAAACATTATAATTGTCGTCTTTTATCCAAAGCTGGCAAAACTTCTTAGAAAGGACCATTATTGTTGTCTTCTATCCAGGAACCTCACAACTCCTTAGAAACGATGATAATCCTTGTCTTCTATCCAAGTTCCTCACAACTAATTAGAAGCGACAAATGGTATGTCTTCTATCGAAGTTCTTCACAACTATTTAGAAGCGACCATAATCATTTTCTTCTATCCAAGACCCTCACAACTCCTTGGCATTGTCTTCTATCACAGGCCCTCAGTATTCTTGAAAAGCGACCATGAGCCTTGTCTTCTATCCACTTCCCTCATAACTCTTTACGAGCGACCATTATTCTTGTCTTATATCCAAGTACCTCATAACGCCTGAGAAGCGATCATAAACCTTGACTTCTATCCAAGTTCCTCACAACTCCTTAGAAGCGACCATTAGCCTTCTCTCCTATGCTAGTCCCTCAGAACTCCTTAGAAGCGACCATTAGCATTGTCTTCTATCCCAGTCCCGCAGAACTCCTTAGAAGCGACCATTATTCTTGTCTTCTATCCAAGTCCCCCATAACGCCTGAGAAGCGACAATAATCCTTGACTTCTATCCAAGTTCCTCACAACTACTTAGAAGCAACCATTGGCCGGGTCTTCTATCCAAGTTCTTCACATCTCCTTAGAAGCGACCATAATTATTGTCTTCTATCCAAGGTACTTACAAATCCTTAGAAGCGACCATAATCCTTGTCTTCTATCCAAGTGCCTCACGAAACCTTAGAAGCGGCCATAATACTATAATACTATAATAATCACAACTCCTTAGAAGCGACGATTATTCTTGTCTTATATCCAAGTCCCTCATAACGCCTGAGAAGCGACCATAATACTTGACTTCTATCCAAGTTCCTCACAACTACTTAGAAGCGACCATTAGCCTTCTCTCCTATCACAGTCCCTGAGAACTCCTTAGAAGCGACAATTAGCCTTGTTTCTGTCCCAGTCCCTCAGAACTCCTTAGAAGCGACCATTATTCTTGTCTTTTATCCAAGTACCTCATAACACTTGAGAAGCGATCATAAATCTTGTCTTCTATCCAAGTCCCTCACAACACCTTAGAAGCGACCATTGGCATTGTCTTCTATGCCAGACCCTTACAATTACTTAGAAGCGACCATTATTCTTGTATAATATCCAAGTCCCTCATAACTACTTAGAAGCGACCATTGGCATTGTCTTCTTTCCAAGTTCTTCACAACAACCTTCAAAGCGACCATTGGCCTTGTCTCTTATGCCAGTCCCTCAGAACACCTTAGAAGCGACAATTATACTTGTCTTCTAACCAAGTCACTCATAACGCCTGAGAAAGGACCATAATCCTTGTTTCTATCCAAGTTCCTCACAACACTTTAGAAGCGAACAAAATTCTTGTCTTCTCTCAAAGTTCCTTACAAATCCTTAGAAGCGACCATAATCCTTGTCTTCTATCCAAGTCCCTCGCGAAACCTTAGAAGCGGCCATAATACTTGTCTTCTATGCAAGGCCCTCACAACTCCTCAGAAGGGACTATTGGCTTTGTCTTCTATTTCAGTCCCTCACAACTACTTAGAAGCGACCATAAACCTGGTCTTCTATGCAAGACCCTCACAACTCCTTAGAAGCGAGCATTGGCCCTGTCTTCTATCCAAGTTCCTCACAACTCCTTAGAAGCGACCATTGGCCTTGTCTCCTATGCCAGTCCCTCAGAACACTTTAGAAGCGACCATAATCCCTGTCTTCTATACAAGTCTCTCACAACACGTTAGAAGCGACCATTGGCATTGTATTCTATCCCAGACCCACAGAATTGCTTAGAAGCGACCATTATTCTTATCGTCTCTCAACATCCCTCATAACGCCGGAGAAGCGACCATAATCCTTGTCTTCTATCCAAGTCCCTCAGAACTCCTTAGAAGCGACAATTAGACTTGTCTTCTATACCAGTCCTGCAGAACTCCTTAGAAGCGACCATTGGCCTTGTCTTCTATCCAAGTTCTTCACATCTCCTTAGAAGCGACCATAATTATTGTCTTCAATCCAAGTACCTCATAACGCCTGAGAAGCGATCATAAGCCTTGTCTTCTATCCAAGTCCCTCACAACACCTTAAAAGCAACCATTGGCATTGTTTCTATGCCAGATCCTTAGAATTACTTAGAAGCGACCATTATTCTTGTCTTATTTCCAAGTTCCTCACAACTACTTAGAAGCGACAATTGGCCTTGTCTTCTATCCAAGTTCTTCACATCTCCTTAGAAACGACTATAAACCTGGTCTTTTATCCAAGACCCCCCACAACTCCTTAGAAGCGACCATTGACATTGTCTTCTATTCCCTAGAAGCGACCATTATTCTTGTCATCTATCCAAGTACCTCATAACGCCTGAGAAGCGACCATTAGTCTTATCTTGTATGCCAGTCCTTCAGAACTCCTTAGAAGCGACAATTACACTTGTCTTCTGTCCCAGTCCATCAGAAATCTTTAGAAGCGACCATTATTCTTGTCTTCTGTCGAAGTCCCTCTTAACGCCTGAGAAGCGACCATAATCCTCGTCTTGTATCCAAGTTCCTCACAACTCCTTAGAAGCGACCATTGGCCTTGTCTTCTATCTAAGTTCTTCACATCTCCTTAAAAGCGACCATTATCCTCGTCTTCTATCCAAGTCCCTCACAAGAACCTTAGAAGCGACCATAATACTTGTCTTCTATCCAAGGCTCTCACAACACCATGGAAGCGACCATTATCCTCGTCTTCTATCCAAATCTGTCACAACTCCATAGAAGCGACCATAATCCTTGTCTTCTATCCAAGTCCCTCACAAGAACCTTAGAAGCGACCATAATCCTTCTTCTATCCAAGGCTCTCATAACACCATGGAAGCGACCATTATACTTTTTTTGTATCCAAAACCGCACTACGAGCTCGAAACGACCATTAATCGATACTCACTAATAACGATAATTATACACGTCTTTTATCCAAATCCTTTGCCACTCGGTAGAAACGGCCATTTTTCTCGTTTATATCCAAAGTCCGCATTTCACGGAGTAAATAACCTTTAATCTCGGCTTCCATCCAAAACACACCCTACACGTAGCAATCAAACATTATTTCAGTCTTGCATCCAATCCCTGTCCTACACCTTCGAAACGATCACGATTCTCGTCTTCTATCCTAAATCCGTGTTACTCCCTAGAAACGACCATTATGCTCATCTTCTATCCTAACTCTGAATTAATCTCTACAAAACGATCACTATTCTCATCTTCTATCCTAACTCTGTGTTACACACTAGAGACGACCATTATTCACATCTATCCTAACTCAGTGTAACTCCGGAGAAACGGCCATTATTCACATCTTCTATCCTAAATCTGTGTTACTCCGGAGAAACGACAATTATTCTCGTCTTCTATGTTGATTCTGTGTTACTCCATAGAAACGAACATTATTCTCATCTTCTCTCCTAACTCTGTGTTACTCACTGGAAACTATCATTATTCTTATCGTCTCTCCAACTCTGTGTTACTCCCTAGAAACGACCTTTATTCTCATCTCTCCGAACTCCGTGTTGCTCCCACGAGACGATAATTATTCTTGTCTTCTATCCTAACTCTGTGTTACTCCTTAGAAAATGCCTTTATTCTCATCTTCTCTCCGAACTCTGCGTTACTCTCTAGAAATGACCATTATTGTCGTCTTCTATCCTAACTCTGACTTACTCCTTAGAAAAGGCCTTTATTCTCGTCTTCTATACTAAATAACTGTTACTCCCGAGAGACGAACATTATTCTCGTCTTGTGTTACTACCTAGAAACAACAATTATTCTCGTCTTCTATCCTGTGTTACTCCATAGAATCAACCATTATTCTCGTCTTCTATCCTAACTCTGTGTTACTCAGTGGAAACTATCATTATTCTTATCTTCTCTCCATCTCTGTGTTACTCCCTAGAAACGACCATTCTTCTCATCTTCTCTCCTAAATCTCTGTTACTCCCTAGAAACGACCTTTATTTTCATCTTCTCTCCGAACTCTGTGTTACTCCTGCGAGACGACCATTATTCTTATCTTCTATCCTAACTCTGTGTTACTCCTTAGAAAATGCCTTTATTCTCGTCTTCTATCCTAACTCTGTGTTACTTTCTAGAAAGAACCATTTTTCTCGTCTTCTATACTAAATCACTGTTACCCCTGATAGACGAACATTATTCTCGTCTTGTAACGTAACGCTGTGTTACTCCCTAGAAAAATCCATTATTCTCGTCTTCTATACTAAGTCGGTGTTACTCCCGATAAACGAACATTATTCTCGTCTTGTATCGTAACTCTGAGTTAATCCCTAGAAACGACCATTATTCTCGTTTCCTATCGTAAATCTGTGTTACACCCGAGAAACAACCATTATTCTCGTCTTCTATCCTAATTCTGAGTTAATCCCTAGAAGCGACCATTATTCCCGTCTTCTAGCCTAACTCTCTGTTACATCCTTGAAACAACCATTATTCTCTTCTATACTAAATCACTGTTACTCCTGATAGACGAACATTATTCTTGTCTTCTATCGTAACTCTGCGTAACTCCCTAGAAACAACCATTATTCTCGTCTTCTATCCTAACTCTGTGTTACTCACTAGAAACTAACATTTTTCTCTTCTTCTATCCTAACTCTGTGTTACTCCCTAGAAACGGTCATTATTCTCATCTTCTATCTTAACTTTCTGTTACTCCTTAGAAACGACCATTATTCTTAACTTCTACCCTAACTCTGTGTTACTCCCTAGAAAAGGCTTTTTTCTCATCTTCTGTCTTAACTGTGTTACTCCCTAGAAACGACCGTTATTTTCGTCTTCTATCCGAGACCAGAACTACTCCTTAGAAGCAACCATTATTCTAGTCTTCAAATCCAAGCTCGCTCTACTCATTAGAACCTGTCAATCTTGTTTTCAATCATGCCCCGTAGTACTCCTTAGAAGCAACCATTATTTTCACCATCTATGGAAGCCCCATTCTCCTCGGTTATTGCAACAATAATTCTCCTTTTTTTATCCAAGTCCTGTGCTACACCGTAGAAAAAGCCATTCTTCTATCGAAGCTCCTCATTTCACGGGAGAAATGACCATTATTTGCGTCTTCTATCCAATTACTTTACTCCTTGCTAGAAACGACCATTATTTTTGTCTTGTATGCAATCCGCGAAATAATCCTTCAAAACGACTGTTACTCTTTTTTTCTATCCTAACCCATTGCTACTCCTGAGAAACGAGCAATATTCTCCCCTCCTATCTAAGGCTGAACTACTACTTAGGAACGACCAATATTTTCGTCTTTTAACAAAGCCCTGCACTATTCCTTAGAAATGAACATTATTCTCGTTTGCTATCCAAGACCAGAACTACTCCTTAGATAAGACGATTACTCTCATTTTCTATCCAAGTCCCTTAGAAATGACCTTTATTTTCGTCTACTCTGCAATCCCCGCACTGGTCGATGGAAACGGCCATTATTCTCGTCTTCCATGGAAGATAACAGAGACTTTTGTATCAATCTTTATATACTTGTATATATCAACTTGTTCATGTCGTCTTTATTACGTTTAATAGAAATAAGAATTTTGTTCTCTTACGTCTCTTTATTTCATTTCTTTTGTGTGCGAACAAGACCTTTCTTTCTTGGACATAGTGTGTGAAGAAATTTTTCAAATGATTGTTCACTTCGAGCTCTTTCGGAGAGTTTCCTCATTTTCTTGTGTCAAACTTACCTTAGTAAATATTTGGACTCTTCGTTTTGGGAGTAAATTTTTATATATAGTCTAGGTAATCATTAATTATTAGGCAAGACTTTGATTCTTACTGTGAGCTCTTCTTACTTTTGGCCTTATTCTTACTTTTGGCCTTATTCTTACTTTTGGCCTTATTCTAAACTTAGCCAGACTTAATAAGCAATTTCTGTAGCGGTAAGAAACTAAATATCAGGAAAGAAATAAATATATATGTATATATATTTATTAAAACGTACTTATGAACCTTTGGATTACAAAAAAAAAACACTAGGGACCTATATCATTCGGATGTAGGAGAGGATTTCTACTTGATTCAAATTCCTAATCACTTTTATTCCGTTTACTCAATCTGTCATTCTTGCTTGACAGAAGCGGCCTGCAGATTTTTCCTGCAAACAAAAAACTATCGAATTTATTTTATAAACAGATTCTTGACTCCACAGCAATTACCAATGCCATCCATTATATAAGGGAATCGGTGAGATGGCTTAGTTGGGAATGGTGTATGGCAGCAAAAGGAAACGAGAGAAAGTCATAGCCTTGGCAACCGTGGAAGCTACATTACTAAAATTACTCAACATTCTAACCAATGTAGTTGCATTTCTCTCGATTATTTATACTTATATCCAAAAGATGACTTCTTTTATTCAAACGTGAAGAAAAAAGACTTTTATTTAAATTTATATCTAAAGAATTAACGGATTTATTTAATAATGAGGCTTTGTTTCTTATATAATTATACTTATATAATTGCAAACGTTATATTTGGCGGGTAGGAAAACATATAACGTCTACTGCAAATCATCTAAACAGTATATATTTGTAAAGCGTACCCTGAAAGTTTAAAATTATAGAGAAAATATCAGTAGTTGAAGGCATAAAATTGCGTTCAAAGTATTTAGATTTAGATATCTGTCTATATTTCTGAGATGAGGTATTGTGATCATTTACATTATTTGGACTTTTCTCCTCATCTTTGTTGCCATATTCACGAAGTTTTGGCCGATGTACGCACCGACCTGCTTCAGTTGCTTGGAATTTCGAACTGAACCATTTATTTCGTCCACCGGGGTAAATTGTTCTAGTTCCACGTGCCGTGCCTCTTCCGGCTTTCTCACAGTTATCTCCCTTTAACTCAACTTTCCAATTTTTTTGTGTATCATCTGCCCTCGTAGATACATGGCCCAGTGGATAAAATCGTTGGTTGGATGCAGTGACTTCAGCGAGTTCAATACCTGCCTACTAGATTGATGAGCAAAAAGGTGAAGAGTTGAGTTAAAGGGAGGTAACTGATACTGAGACATCTGAAAGAGACATGGCATGTGGAACTAGAACAAACTAACATAATGGACAAAATAAACGGTTCTGTTCGAAATTTTAATCACATGAAGAAGACCGTAGCGTACAACGATAGAAACGTTGTAAATATGGCAACAAAGATGAGGACAACAGTCCGAACAATGTAAATAATGTTAAAATTCGTTAGGGAACCCACCTTTATGCGAGGCAAGTTTTAGCCCGATGAGTAGCGAAAGACTTCAGAAATATATATATATATATATATATATATATATATATATATATATATATATATATATATATATATATATATATATATATATATATATATATATATATTGAATACGACAGACAAGGTGCTTTTATGTAGTTTTTCATACAACGGATAAGTGGTAGAATCTCCGATTGACGCCAATTCAGTCGGGTTTCGATCCTAGCTAAAGACAACCGTACGTCTAGCCACACTGATGAGCTGTGATACAGCCAAACAGTCTGTCTGTGGATGACAATATATATACTCTTGAAAAATTCATTTCGGTCGAGCTCGCTGGGAAAGAAGTGTGGTTTTTTAAACTGTGATTATTACGGCTAATAATGCAAGACTCTTAAATAAACACGCTTAAATTCACTTTTATTCTTGCCGTGCGCCAACGGATAAGTGGTAGGATCTCCGACTGATGTCAATTCAGTCGGGTTTCGATCCTAGTTAGAGGCAACCGGACGTCTAGCCACACTGATGAGCTGTGATACAGCCAAACAGTATGTCTGTGGATGACTATATATATATATATATATATATATATATATAAATAAAATTGAAGAGAGAACCCACAAACGTTTTTGGGTATAATATGGATTTTTAAAATATTTATAGTATTTTATGTTTCATATATTGTTGCTACACGGGTTTCCGGTCTTGCGATCTTCATCAGACTGATGAAGTTCTCAAAACCCGAAAAACGTGTAGCAAAAAAAAAAAAAAAGATGGAAAATAAACTATAATATTTTTTTAAATACACGTTATAACCCGAGACGTTTGTGGCTTCATTCTTCTCTTTAAAATATGGTGTGTAATGAATGGGAAAACCATGAAACTCTGCGTCGTACTGCAAGCCAACACCTATGGGTAATTAGTAAGACTTGTATCAATAGATTATTATTTCCATAAACATTCTTACAATCAAAATCTATTTTCTGGCTTTAAATAACCTGAAAAAGGTTGATAAGTTATAAAAACGAAGCAATCAATCAATACTGTTTTTTAAAGATTTTTCTGATGTCCAAAGAAATTTCCATAAAAAATTGCAACATTTGGCTTGGACAATGTTTTACAGAGATCATCAATCGACAAGATTGAATTATGATATATTCTTCTGTGGAGTAAATTTAATTATTCCCTCGATACCCACAATGCACCTAGACGATAATTTAATATTTGGCAGATGTTTTATTCCGATAGATTAATGCAATTCATCTTTATAAAGAATTAATATTTTGAACGCGTCGTCTGTTTATACGTTAAATTTTAGTTTCTTTTTCATTCTGTGTTTAATCAGGTGCGCGTGGTCAAGTGGTTAGAACACTGGTTTTCCGACTGTGTAGACCCAAGTTCTAATCTCAAACTGGTCGTTAATGCTGTCGATCCCTGGGCGGGCGACACTTTTGAAAAGTACCTGAAGATCTCAGCACAAGTTAACCCATGCCTTGCAATTGAAGTTGGGAAGACGCTGTCAAGAAATTTCAAATACCCATGGCCTTGTTCACCATTTTTATCTCACCAGATTATGTTTTCTTTCCTAGGAATCACAACTAAGGTCTGCTCAGCATAATTGCAGTAAAAAACTACAAGTCCGCTCTGTGTATGTTTAACAAGTACAAATGTGCCTGAACAGGCGTCTGCAACAGGGATGATTTCGTTTGGTTTGGTTTGTTTTATGGCATATCAACCTTAACAGGTCATTTAATATCGACAACTTTTTTTTTCTGGTAATATTTTTGTTTTGTCAAAAATCTATTTCTGTTAATATTTTTTTTCCTCAAAAACTTATAGCTGTAATATTATTTTTTCAAAAACGTATAGCTTGTAATAGTTTTTTTTCT